TTAGTTGACCAATACACTAATCTTGATTCGAAAATCCTGACAAGTTAAATGATTGACACAGTTGAGCGTTTCAATTAGCAGTACCGTTTGCAGAGGTATAGTCAGAAAATAGTGTGAGCTGTTAGACGTTTCGGTGAAATAAATCCATCAGAGTCTAAATTAGAATCATACGAAAACACATCACTGAGTTTTGTGTTAGCAAATTTGATTCCTGTGCTGATATAAGTGGACACTGCTGTACAGTGTAAGACACCATGACAGGATAATTTTAGTTGATATAATAACCAGTGATAGAGTGTTATGTGTTTGGCGATGATGTGGTAATGAAAAACTCTCGATCATAATCACATCACGCTATTCCGATGAATTTCGGTTTGTCTCAGTATAATCTCAATATTGAAATCAAAACAAGAATTTGAGCGAACAACTGTGGTTTCGATAACTCCTTCTTCAGTTTCTGCACTTATAAATCCATGAATAATAAAGTACATATAGAGCTAATAAAGGCAAATGAAAATAATATCAGAAGCTGTATTGAGGTGCATTTGTAAGCTGAGATGATAGTCCATTAGTTAGCATAGTCAATTTAATGTGTAGTATAGGGTGTATAGTCAGAAAAAATGTGATGAAGTGTGAGTGAACATTTGGGTGATATAGTGTTGTTTTAAACCGCAGATTAACAGGATCAATTGAAAGAACTTTTAATGCGGCAAAACTGCATGCCAGTTTCTCAACCAAACTGATATTGACACCGTGCATCAAAGATAGATTGCCCAAAATGCTGACATCAATGTGTGTATATAAATTCAACTGCTCCTCCTGTGGAGCTAGTTATATAGGTCGTACCCAAAGGAATTTATCTTTACACACTCGTGAACATATTCCTGTTTGGCTTGAGAAAAGAGCAACCAAATCATTAAATACTGCAATTCTGTTTCATCTAGTGGATAGCGAACACAGTATCAAAGTAGATGAGTAGTCATTTACAGTTGTGTATCGAGTACCGAACAATCTCACCAAAGGCACATTGTTACGCCTCCTAGCCATAGCTGAGGCTTTAGAGATTAATAGAGCGAGAGACCAGACCTATGTGTACAGAAAAAACATATTCACTCTCTTTGTCCACCCTGGCCCACTATAAGGTTACCAGGATCATAATTTTTCGTACTATTATTATTATCATTTTGTGATATCATGTCTTTATTATCCATTTCTCCACCCAGTTTATTTCACCTCATTGTTACCCTTATTTTTGTCAACCTTTATGATTTTATACTAAGCCTACTAAATCTGTAACATCTTATTACAATTTACAATTTAGCCTCTTTATTTTATCATTAGACATTATCGGTCAGCCCTCACATTCAGTGCCTCCTTTGTTAATGTGTATTTGTATGTATTTTGTGGTTATCGCATTTTTCTCACTCCAATGACACTTGTATTCTGTTGACTATAAAACAACAGTATATACCACCCAATTGTTCAGTCACACTTCATCACATTTTTTCTGACTATACACCCCCTATACACATTTGATTGACTATGTTAACTAATGGACTATCATCTCAACTTACACATCCACCCCAATACACTTTCTGATATTATTTTCATTTGCCTTTATTAGCTCTATATGTACTTTATTATTCATGGATTTATAGCTGTAGAGCCTGAAGAACAAGAAGTTATCGAAACCACAATTGTTTGCTCAAATTCTTGTTTTGTTTTCTCCTTTGATCTTAGTGGTGAATGGTGTTTTCTGTATCTTCACATCGAAAGTGTTTGGTGCAGATTTGATTCAGAAGGACTGAGTAATCAATCCACTGTCCCCTGAATATGACCATATTTCTTATAACATTTGCAACGCTACCAGCATATTTTATGTTTGTAGGTGTATTGCTCTTGTATCTGCTCTTGCTTGTTTTAGAGTCAGTCAGTCATGCTTCAGCTATTATTATTATTACTGTTCCTTTGGGTTCCTAGTGGAACATAAGGCATCAACTGCACGTCTCTACTTGCTTCTGCCTTCTGCTGTACTTTTCACCTGCATCCATGTTGTTAGTCCATACTCTTTCAACTCCTCTTCACACGATCTCCTCCATGTCACCCTTGCACTGACGTCCCACTCGCCGCTTCCCATTCTGTTGGGTTCCACTCGGGCGATGGCCTGCGCGCGCGCGATGTCACCCAGCGGCCTCCTCTGCGAGTGTCCAATCAATCTTCACTTTCTCCTGCATATTTTTTCAGCGATTGGTTCCTGTTTTGTCTGTGCCGATAGTTTCTTGTTGGTGATTCTTTCCAGCCGTCTGACTGATCTTCAGCATAGAGCGAAAACAGTTGTTGATAAAGGTCTGTCACTAGCTGTTGGAAATATTCTTTGTGACCCGCCCGCCAAGTTTCTGATCCGTATAGAAGAGATGGCTGACTTGACGTTGTTTTTGTTGAAAATACGAATTTTGTTGTTGACGCTGAGTGATGAAGATTTCCAGATTGGTTTCAGGGTGAAAAATGTGTTTCTCGCCTTCCTGATTCTCGATTTGACATCGTCGTCCCTTCCTCCATACTTCAGCTAGCTACAACCAAGTTATCCTGTATTCTCACTGGCGTTGACATGCTGGATTAACCTAGCTACAAAGCTGATCTCACAGGCAAGTGTATTCTACAGGTCACGACTGCAGGGAGTCAAGCGGGATCAAAACGTCAACAGTAAGACATGTTTTTACTGAGAATAGAGTGGATCGTCAAAATGCCACATTACAAGCTTTCGTGGAATAGATACGAACAGTACATTATTGTGCGATTTCTCTTCAGAAACGTCAAAATGATATATGCGAATACCAGAATGAATTGAAAAGCAGTAGATCTGGCAAATACACTGATAGCGATCGATCAAGGAGCAACAAAATATGCACAAGCTTGAAATGTTAGAAGAAACTGTGAAAATACTTTAGATGTAAACCAATTTGACACGCGATGTGAGCATTGTTTCTCCTGAAGGTGTGAAATAACAATGAAATCGTCTGAGAAAATTAAAATAATTAGTCCCTTTGATAAATTTGAATAAGGCTTTTAGAAGACAAATTTCACCGCGAGATGATATCGTCGCTTCGTAGGTTCTTTACAACCGCTTCACAACTAACATGGTTAACAATAATAAAATAAAATTAAGTTCATCACAATTACTCAGTTAAATAAAAAAACACAAAATTACGTACTAATGACCAGTGATATTTAGATAGGTCATGCTGTCCAGGGTAGAGGAAGATTGAAGTCTATTGATTTTCCTACACACAGTTTAGGCTGTATGCGATTAATCCCCCAAAGTGCTTCCACTATCTTCATTAACCAGCCTTGAATTAGAGTTATGTGATGAAATAATTGTGAAACAATCATTAATATTAATTTTGTGACTTGACATTAATCAGTGGTTTGCAACGATGATGATGGTGGATTTCTATTAAGATTAATCGCATCAGGATTTTTTTGTATATGATTTAGTAGCCATTTTGGAACATGTTCTCTTCGACGACTTTGGAACATTCTGTTAGCTCTACCTATATAGGTGTCACCGAAACAGCTGCAGGTGAATTTGTAGATACGGTTTGAGGGGAGTAGTGTCCACAGAATTTCGTCCTTTAATCGTAGGTACAGGGATGGAAAATGTTCGGCAAGTGAGGAAAATAGATGTGGCGGTGTAGAATATGCATTTGATGGCTGACCGAAATCTTTGAGTTAGCTGTTCACTGCATAATCTAGTCGCCCTTGAATGGTAGGTTATTGAAGACAGCTTTCTTTGGTACAGAAACTGTCTTTTCAAGATGTGGTTTTTCTTTACTGTGACAAGTGATAAAGTAAGGTTTCCGGATAACCATTAGCTAACAAAACTGAATGTATGTGTTGAAACTCATCCATCATTATGTGACAACTCGTGAAAATTTTTCGGGCCCTTGAGAACAAACATTTCACTATGGGGAACGTTTATACTGGATAGGAACAAAACTGGTAAAATGGAGATATTGTCCACTCCATGTCTGTTTACGAAAAATAGATCACTGAATCGTTCCATCATCTCTCCTGGTCACTGAAATATCAAGGAAACCGAGTTTGTTATTCGATTCTAGTTCGGAAGTCACTCGGATATTTGGATGAATAGGATTAAATGGGGCAATAAAATTTTCATTAGATTCACTATTATTATCAATAGTGAGAGTATCATCTACATAACGTTTATACAGTATAAATTCTCCAAAAATACTTAGGATTTGTTTTTCCAATTTTAACATGAATATATCTGCTAACAGGGGTACAAGAAGGTTCCCTGCCGCAACACCGTCGATTTGTTTGTATGCCTTATCTTTGAAGGTGAATGTAATATTTTCTGTACACATTAAGACGATGTCTCTGATGTAAGTGACAGGAATAGGTAAGTTTACATCATTGGTTGTGATGTAATCGCAAATGAAATCAACAGTCTCATGAATAAGAACACTGGTGAATAAAGATTCTACGTCAATTGAACACATAACCTTTTCCTTAATGTTCAGAGTGTCAAGCATATCTGTCATCAGTTTTATTTAACTGAGTAATTGTGATGAAATTTATTTTATTTTATTATTGTTAACCATGTTGGTTGTAAAGCGGTTGTATAGAAACTACGAAATGACGATTTCATATCTCGAAATTTGTCTTCTAAATGCCTTTTTCAAATGAAAGCGTCATTACTCAGTATGAAGCGAACACTTGGCTTAAAGCTGACTTTGAATCTCTTGTAATCTAATTACTTCATCACGAAGATAAACAAGAGTAAGTAACCTGAATTCACCGAAACTACTTCTGTGAAGTTTTGCCCTCTCGACTGAATGCCTTACATTTCAAAGTTGTCTAAAGGCTTATTCAAAATTTGTACAGTCCAAAGTTTGTTTCATCTTTCAGTGGGTTGATATCAATATGTGTGTATATAAAACATATTCAGTGAGTCAATCAGTTCAGACAGTAAACAGCACTCAACACTTGAGCAAAGTCGATTCAATTATCGATAAATTTAGATAAAGTGTCGAGAATTCTGACTACAGAACTACGCCAACTACTATAAGACTGAATAATGACTGTGAGTTATATATTCAATTTATACTATTTGAGAGAATGTATTATTCATGTTAATATTAGTAATAATAATAACAGCAATGATAACAAATTGAGGAGATTAACAAGAAGAATTCTCCGATTGTTGGTGATTTCGTGTTGAAGTGAAGTCTCTGTGTATGGCGATGTTGACTAGACTGAAGAGTTCACTTAAAATATGTGTAAAACTTGGGCACTGTGGTAGTAAGTAATTCCGTATTAGTATCTTTATTAGATGTATCACACAGTCAGTGAAACAGTATTAGTATTTGCTGGATGACAATGTTTCGAACAAAATTTATTGTTCATAATCATAACATCATTTGAAATCACACGACTTTGAAACTTCAGTTTTATAGTTTTCTTTGTCTTCTCCTATTTGTCGTCGAAGGCGTGGTAGTAGAATTTTCCAGATATCTGGGCGGATAGGTGTTGAATCACTCCTATTACAAGTATTCTTTTCAGTTGATGCGATAAGCAAAGCTTCTGTTATCAATCTCTCCCTCCACCATTTTAGTTGCATTCGATTTTAAAACTGTCATCTTATCCCATCTCATCCCATTGCATGGTTGTGTGTAACTACATATACTACTACTATTACTACCCCTATGGCAAATAGGAGAGGATAAAGAAAACTATAAAACTCAAGTTTCAAAGTCGTGTGATTACACCTGATATGATTAGATTAGAAATAGGAAGTGAAGTGGTAGAGCACGTTGACCGCTGCACTTACTTGGGAAGTACCATCAACCAACACCAACGGGTTGATCTCTGACGAAATCTCAGCACGGATACAGAGGGCTAATTTTGCATATGCCAGTTTACGCCGTCTCTGGCATAGACGTGATATCCGACTATCGACCAAAGGGTGGGTGTACTGCTCAGCGCAGCAGTCCGCTCCGTCCTTCTTTATGGCTGTGACACCTGACCATTGAAAGTGGAAGACATGAAAAGATTAGCTGTCTTTGATCATAGATGTCTGAGTTCTAACTTTCGTGTTTAATGGTACAATAGGGTGAGCAATATTGAGGTTAGGCGTCGAGTTCTAGGTAAGCTGGGGAAGTCAATCGACGAGGTTGTGAAGTTACATCAACTGAGATGATTAAGACATGTGTTACGTATGCCCAGTCATCGCCTTCCTCGACGGATGGGAAATGTTTGCTGATATAGGGTCAGGCTGGAAAAGAGCTAGCGGAGGTCAAACAAAAACATGTCACCAGTCAATGAAATCTACAACAGTTAGTCTAAGCCACATAAGAAGTTGTAGACTTCCTGGTTGGGGTCCTCGGGACAGTAAAAACCAATAGTTGGAAACAATTGGTGACATGGCTTAAAAATCGTTCTCAGTGATGGCTGGCGCAGATGTATCCACTCCTTGTGACTTATGATTTCCAATGAAACTGTTTTGTTCTTCGTTATTACTATTCCTTTGTCTCACACCTCTGTTTACTGTCTCTAGTATGCGTTTCTTCTACATTCTTCACTTGCATTGTGTGCTACATGGAGTGTGGCGACTTGAACTGCCGCACATCAGTGCAAAGTTCTATGTCGAAGACAGACAGACAGAATTGATATGATTATGAACAATAAATTTTGTTCCAAACCTTGTCATCCGGTAAATAATACTGTTTCATTGACTGTGTGATACATTTAATAAACAAACTAATATGAAGAGTTCACTGTGCGTTGAGAACGTGAAGCATATGGCGATAGATGTGGGAGGGATGACATGTATTTTAATATGATTCACTTCACAGATATGAAGTATTTGGTGACTCACAATGAGGTGTGTCAGGATTATAAATCATAAATTCATGTGTCATCTGCATTCGTTGATTACTTTGATGTGTTCATTGTGTGTTGAGAATTTGACGCGTATGGCGATGGGGGTATTCACGTGATACACATGAAGAATAAGAGTTGTTGTATAACTCTGCGTTGTGTAACACGCGCACATTTTCGTTCAAAATAGTAGTTTCGAGTATATCTCTAGTATATCAGATAATTGGAGGTAATCATCAGGAAGCCTTCGGCCAATGTTTCGTGCTAGTTGGCACTCAACAGTCATCAAGGCGTTTCTGCAATCTTCAGGGAACTGATTCCCCTTCTGACGTTCAAACTCGTGTCACTCAGTACTGGCTGAAGTCAGAGGCGTTACCCCTGAAGCATCCGACTCGCGATTGACCTCATGTAGGGCTGTAGTGGATACTTTTCATTGAAAAATACATAGTTAATACTAATAATAATAATAATAATGATTTACTTTATTCCAAAAACAGTACTTGTGATACAGAATGGAATTTTCAGCATTAATCGCAATATCGCATCTAATTTCCTCAAATTATAAATAAAAATTAATCACACAGAAAATTTTCCACATTCACAATAGGGGTAATGTCAAAATCATGCAGCATATAAAATGGAAATAATAATAATAATGATAACAGCTAAGGTAATAAAACTAATAATACAAGTGAAAATTGCCGTGGGCTTGTTTCACACAGTATTGTCGATGCGGTATAGAAATCCTAACATGTTTAAAAATATTGAGTATAATGTTCTCTCTTTACATGATATGTATGGTGAGAGGAAAAACAAAGATTAAAGCAGTCATAGAAATAAGTCGGTATTTGCAATTATGAGAGTAAAACAAACAAATAAGCAACAGGACCATAAATATAATAGAAATAATAAACGTAAAACTTGAAGGCATATAAGGATGAATAGAGGAAATTGTTTATTTACTAGATGGAAAAAGGTTAGTTAATTCTTGCCTGACACTATTTTCACTACCACATGAAATACGTGGCAAGTATGGTATCATAGAATTTCTATACTTAGACGTGTGAGCACACAGTTTTCTGAAGTTACCCTTTGTTCTACCTGAAGAGATGCAAGATGAAAGCTGAGGGTAAAGTGGATACTCCAAGTCAGACAAAATCCCTTTAGCAAATTTATTGCACGAAGTCAAGTGCCTATCGACAACGACGTTAAATGTACGGTTCACTGGGACACACTACTCACCCTACTGACAGTCTTCAGCATTCTACGAATTGTGGCGTAGTCGTTTTTAAGCAAACCAGGAAAGATTAAGGGTGAACAGTAAAGAAGAATAGGTAGGATGTAAGAGGAGGGGTTGAGTTATACCCGAGTGCCGTAACATCTTGATGTAAAACGTCAGGTGAAATATTTTCATGAGGATCGCTAAGACATGGGAAGACCAGGAGAGATCAAAGAGAGAATAAGTCCAAGATACTTCATTTCTGATTTAATTCCTATGCCATTGTCGTCAATCTAACAACTGTCATGAGAATCGACGACTTCGTTTACATCTTAAGCTGAAATTAACAGTTTGACATTAAGAAGGATTCAGTTTAAGACCGTTAGACTCAGACCATTTGCTGACTTCCGATAGAAAGCTATTTATTTTAGTACAATCTAGCTGGGAGTTAACAGCCACTGAAACTGTGTTAAATCATCAGGGTACTTCACAAAGTTTATTTCATCAGAGTGAGGCAAGTCATATGAGAAGAAAGAAAAAAGAAAAGGAGAAAGGACAGCGCCTTGAGGGACACCAGCTTCAGTAGGCAATGAAGTGGAAGACTTCCCTTTTTTTACGGTGTACTGCTTTCTTTCTGAGAAATAGGAATGTAACCACTTAACCGCCCGAGTTTATTTAATAACATGTCCCTAGGGACCGAGTCAAAAGCAGATGTATAGTCTAAGAAGGCACAACGAACAAATTTACCCCCCACCCTTATCTAGACTGGAATCAGTGTTATGATATAAGACGGCAGCTCCACCTAAAGTGCTTCTATTATGCTTATAGGCAAATTGTTTAGGGTCATTAAAGGATTTAAGCGAGGCTACAGGACTAAGTAAAAGTAATTTCTCCATAGTTTTCAAAAAAAGGAGAGGTAATAGCAATGGGTCAAAATTTGACACATACTCCAGTAGATAATTTAAGTATAGGTCAACTTTGGTGGCCTTCCAAAAGGCAGGCACATTATTACTGGAAAAAGATTTGTTAAATAGATCAGAGTGATCAGAGTGTAATCTGTCCAGTCCTGTGTTGATAGTGACATTGGAAACTGAACTGTGATAGAATTCAGGGTTCAACAAACAAAAGAGTGGACACATTACACTAATAACTAACACTATCTAGTATCCCATTGTCAGCTTTTCTTTGTGTCGCTTAATCTATTCTTCATAAATAATTTCCACTTCTATTATTCCCTGTTGATATTCTCTTAGTTTTTCCAGGTGACGGTTATGTTGTGGTCACTACTGTGCTGCGTAGTTTCATTTTCACAAATTTCGAATTTCATTGAAACTATTCACTGGAATTGGTGCATAACAGTTGGACTGATGTGGTTTCTGGATATCATTCTACTAATCAGAATGATACTGATGGTGACTGGAAGGTATGTGGTCATCAGTTTTTCAGTCTGTGGTGGTGAGTGAGTGGGTAAATATGAGATTTTGTTTTCGTCTCACGTTGGCCCATGTCATTTCGTATTTGTACACTTTTTTTAGAATTACTCAAATACTCGGTAGTCCTGATGTGGGAAGAAGATTCAGTCAGGCAGTAACATTTAGCGTTATCGTGTGGAAATTGGCTGTGCAGACTGTTCTTTGGTTGTATTTAAAGGAGAATATTGGAGGTCTACCATATGACCGATATCTAACTTTCAATCAGCGTAGTTCATTTTCTCAACAGAAAAAGGAGAAAAAGATACTTCCGAGACATCGTGCAGTTTTCGCAGTATTTCCATTTTGGACTACCATGCTCATATGCTTATTAGCAGTGTGCAGTCAGATTGTAAAATTCGATAAGTCATCACTTGGTTGGATATTTCGTGGAAATGAACAACCAATTGAGAGTCATAAAGGCGAGAAACGACAGGATGCAGAATTTTCACCAGAACATTCCGTGTTGGAGTAGTGAATCGCCCTTTGATTATTTTGTCAGATCATTATCACTTATTATCAGGAAACAACTATTGTCATATACATCTCGAACAGAAATATTTGTATGTTGTGTATATGAATTACGGCTTGGTTCTACGGGTGGTGTCAGATAACTTGTAGACACTTTTCCTTCCATTGAAGCAGTCAGTGTTCATCAGGTGACAAAATATTACAGATTTCCGTCTCTTACTTTCCATTAGTTTTCTTCATTGTTTTTTTTTTCATGTGATGAAGCATCCTGTTCTCATCGCTAATGTCATTCAGGTTTGCAATACTTGTAATACTTTCTTTTATGACAAATCTGACATTATAATATGGTGTCATACGAGAAAGTAATGAGAGAGGAGTCAGCTACTCCAGTTCCGACTTTGAAATTGACTGTTTACTGAAGTTGCCTGAGAAATCGACACTTTTGAGGAATTTGAATAAAGCATTAGGAAGACAAATTTCGCCGCGAGATGATATCGTCATTTCGTAGTTTCTTTACAACCGCTTTACAACTAACATGGTTAACAATAATAAAATAAAATAAAGTTCATCACAATTACTCAGTTAAATGAAAAACACAAAATCACATACTAAAGACCAGTGATATTTAGATAGGTCATGTAGTCCATAGTAGGCGAAGATTGAAGTCTATTGATTTTCCTACACACAGTTTAGGCTCTATGTGATTAGTCCCCCAAAGTGCTTCCATCACCTTCATTAACCAGCCTTGAATTAGAGTTATATGATGAAATAATTGTGAAACAGTCATTAGTTAATATTGATTTTGTGACCTGACATTAATAAGTGTTTTGCAATGGATGGTGGTGATGGATTTTTATTAAGATTAATCGCATTGGGATTTTTTGTATATGATTTAGTAGCCATTTTGGAACATGTTCTCTTCGACGAATTTGGAACATTCTGTTAGCTCTACCTATATAGGTGTCACCGAAACAGCTGCAGGTGAATTTGTAGATACAGTTTGAGGGGAGTAGTGTCCACAGAATTTCGTCCTGTAATCGCAGGTACAGGGATCGAAAATGTTCAGCAAGTGAGAAAAATAGATGTGGCGGTGTAGAATATGCATTTGATGGCTGACCGAAATCTTTGAGTTAGCTGTTCACTGCATAATCTAGTCGCCCTTGAATGGTAGGTTATTGAAGACAGCTTTCTTTGGTACAGAAACTGTCTTTTCAAGATGTGGTTTTTCTTTACTGTGACAAGTGATAAAGTAAGGTTTCCGGATAACCATTAGCTACCAAAACTGAATGTATGTGTCGAAACTCATCCATCAATGTGTGACAACTCGTGCAAATTTTTCGGGCCCTTCAGAACAAACATTTCACTAGGGGGTAACGTTTATACTGGATAGGAACAAAACTGGTAAAATGAAGATATTGTCCACTCCATGTCTGTTTACGAAAAATAGATCCTTGAATCATTCCATCATCTCTCCTGGTCACTGAAATATCCAGGAAACCGAGTTTGTTATTCGATTCTAGTTCGGAAGTCACTCGGATATTTGGATGAATAGGATTAAATGGGGCAATAAAATTTTCATTAGATTCACTATTATTATCAATAGTGAGAGTATCATCTACATAACGTTTATACAGTATAAATTCTCCAAAAATACTTAGGATTTGTTTTTCCAATTTTAACATGAATATATCTGCTAACAGGGGTACAAGAAGGTTCCCTGCCGCAACACCGTCGATTTGTTTGTATGCCTTATCTTTGAAGGTGAATGTAATATTTTCTGTACACATTAAGACGATGTCTCTGATGTAAGTGACAGGAATAGGTAAGTTTATCCCATTAGTTGTGATGTAATCGCAAATGAAATCAACAGTTTCATTAATAGGGACACTGGTGAATAAAGATTCTAGGTCATCGATTGAGCACATAACCTTTTCCTTAATGTTGAAGTTGTCTAGCATTTCTGTTAGATCAAATGAACTTTTTACACAATGATTTGATAATGAGTCAATTTGAAAGGTGTTGCTTATATTAATTATGATCATAATAAACAGTAATAATGATAATGATTGTAAGAAGAATAACGGCTTTACTCCAAGCAGTGCCTTCGCTATAATGTGGAATTGTTGGCATTAATAGAATATTGTATCGGATTTTCTCTTCACATTACATATATGGACCAGATGAGGGGGTGGGAGGAATATTGGACAGGTCACGAACATTGGTAATATTGTCGAATAAGAATACGAAAGTGAAGTTTAAGTGGAATCATTAACAAGATTATATCAATGGAACAAGGAGATTACAAGTGTCATTCACTCAGCGTTTCATGGGAAGTTAGTATTGTCATGCCTTACACTTTCTTCACCACATGAAATGTGTACCAAATAGGGTATCGCAGAATTGTTCTAATTACTTATCCGAGCATAAAGTCTCTCAAGGCTGTTTCTAGTTAGTACTTGATGAAATGCAAGGAGAGAGTTTTGTATCGAGAAGGTGCTCAGAGTCAGAAAAGATGATGTCCTCTCATTTCTTGCGTCAGTTGAAGTATCTATCCCAAAGAGTGTTGACGACTTGGTTTCACGAAAACCTTTTCTCTGTCTTTCTCTACTGACAGCTTTTAGTGTCCTTTGCAGTGTAACAGAGTGCTTGGTTCCTAGGTAGCCTTGGAAAGATTGAGATAAGGGAGCAATAAGGAAGAACAGGTGTGGTATGAGAATTAACAAACTGTAGAAGTTCAGACTGAGTGATAGCAGATTGTCTCCCTTACTCTCTTATGTAGAAATTGAGATTAAGTATCTTTCAGGAAGATAACGTGATGGGCGAAGATCAGGGAAGATTAGAGAAAAATTACCATATAAGGCACTTAACATCTGACTTAATGTCAACTTCTCTGCCGTCTGTAATATAAGAATCATGGAAATGAACCGTTTGATGTACGTGGAACTTGTGTCTGAAAGGGAAATTAACAAGCTGATATTTTTTGGGATTTTGTATAGGACCGTTTGGAAAGGACCACTGACTAACTTCTGATGAAAGGTTATTTATTCATTTTGGTACAGTCAGACTAAGAAGTAACAGGCATTGGAAGAGTCGAATCATATGCATACTCAACAAAATTAGCTTCGTCAGAATGATGTAGCAAGTCACATTAGAAGAAGGCAAACAGAAAAGGAGAGAGAGAGAACAGCTGCTTAAGGAACTCCAGCTAGAACAACTGAAGCATCGGATGATTTCCCATCGTGAACAATGTACTGCTTTCTATCATAAAAATAAGAATACAACCACTTATGAATCCACTAGGCTCCATGTGTCTCAGCAGGCTTGTTTAGGAGAAGAGGAGAAAAATAATATGATGGAAGACAACACCTACTATGTTTGTAAGCAAATTGTTTAGGGTCACTAACATCCTTCGAAGGAAGTGTAAGGTTAAGTGGACGCGTTTTCTCCATCACAATTTTTTCAAATGGCGAAGTAATAGTAATAGGTCTAAATATAACACTCGGTCTAATTGTTGATTTTGGAACTGGAAAACTTTCAGTATCCTTTCAACAGAAGCTACACAGTTAGTGAAAAATGATTCATTGAACAGGTCAGTGAGAAAATGATATCAAATGTCTGAAAAATGTGATGCATTTGCGTTATACATTTCGAGCAATCTGATCACACATCTACTTGTCAAGTCGATATATATGGAAAAGTTAGTTAAATTAAACAAAGTGACAAGAAGAAGGATTTAAGAATGATTAACACAAACGTTTGGTAATCCAATCAAATAAGGATTACCAAGGTTGCTTAAAAGTAATAATAAACTGTTTTTAATACACAAAGGGTGAGTGAGTGGCTTAAGTTTGTGAATAGCGATAGCCTTGGCGTATTCCAATAAGCGCCCTTGGCCGTTTTTATAGATGACACTAAAGGCAGAGTTAACATCAATCTTATGGTTCATCTCGATTAGATATTTAGCTATAGACGAAGTTGGTAGTCTGACACCTGCATCTATTGGTTTTTCACAATTCATTTGTTTTTCTAGCCATTTCGGCATATGCTCTCCCACCCTCACCTGCAAAACGCGATTACTCCTCCCTATGTATGTGTGACCACACACACACGAAAATTGATAAATAGTGTGGGATGTGACAAAATCACTTGTGTACTTTTGAGGTTTGCAGTGAAGCATATTTCTGGCTTTTTCGACAATTACATGCTGGGCTGCATACTAGGTTCTACTGATGATCGATTTTAACCTTTGTCTCAAAATCCGACTGTTTATTTCCCCGTTATATGCTAATTTGATGAAAACATTTTTCTTAGGGACGGTGTGTATTGTAGGTTTAGAGACTAGTTGACTTCTGCGCCTATTTAAAAATTTTAAAGGATATCCGTTTTCAACAAGAGTATCCATCAATATTTCGTTTTCTTTGTCTATAAAATCAGCCGTACAAATACGTTGAATCCTTTTAAACAGACATTTCATCAAGCCTCTTTTATGCTGTAATGGACAGAAATTGTGAAAATTAAGGTACTACCCTGTCCAAGTGAGCTTTCTGTGGATTGATCGTCTTATTGAACCATCATCTCTTCGACTCAGCTGGCTGCGACTTTCTTCCTCGCGTGTAAGACTAATATGATTATGTACAGAGTTGAGCCTGTCTAATAGACGACTCGCATCTTCATGATCGTCACATATCAAAATGATATCATCTACATATCTCTTATAGAAGGGCAATTTAGATATTAAATCAAGGGACAGGTTTTCAACATAAGACATGTAAACGTCCTCTAGCAAAGGCCTTAATGGACTGCACATAGCAACGCCGTCTGCTTGTCGAAAATGTTCACCTTCAAACGTGAAATGGACGTTGTCGGTACATAATAATAGTAATAAATCTTTCAAATAAGTTAAAGAAAACGGAAATGTGAGGGTGGGAGAGCATATGCCGAAATGGCTAGAAAAACAAATGAATTGTGAAAAACCAATAGATGCAGGTGTCAGACTACCAACTTCGTCTATAGCTAAATATCTAATCGAGATGAACCATAAGATTGATGTTAACTCTGCCTTTAGTGTCATCTATAAAAACGGTCGAGAGCGCTTATTGAAATATGCTGAGGCTATGGCTATTCATAAACTTAAGCCCCTCCTGTGTATTCAAAACAGTTTATTATTACTTTTAAGCAACCTTGGTAATCCTTATTTGATTGGATTACTAAACGTTTGTGTTAATCATTCTTAAATCCTTCTTCTTGTCACTTTGTTTAATTTAACTAACTTTTCCGTATATATCGACTTGA